GCATAGAGAGGCTTCAGAAGCCTCTCGACTTTGGGGCTGAAAATCCAAGTGGTTCTGAGGCCCTTGTGCACCCAACCCACTCCACACCCCTGCACACCCACACCGACTTTCTCACACACACACCCCATGCACCCTCTTGCTCCCTCCCTCACCTGGCAGCGCCTGGGGCTTGCAACTTCCTACTGGCTTCCCCACTGATTTGATTGTGGGAAGCTGGCAGGAAGTTGCCTCGCCTAATGACTGGGGCATTCATTTAACAATGGCAACTGGGGCTGCCAGGATTGCAGTCACTAAGTAAAGCGGTCACGTGATAATTCGCTTAATGACCACATTGCTTAGCAACCTAAATTCTGCTCCCAATTATCATCATTAAGCGAGGACTGCCTATACTGCATTTGTAAAAAGATATTATAGAGCTGGAATAACTGCCGAAAAGGAAAATTAAATTATCAGGTGGCTTGAATACCTTTCCTGCTTGGATATTCTGGACTCATTTAGTTGGAAAAAAGATGACTGTGAGGAGGACATGATTAAAATATATAGAACTAACTGGAAGAAGATTTTGAATAGTCAAAAGAAGGCACTTCTTCAGCAGGGACATAATTAACCTGTGGAGTTTCTTTCTTTGAGTCATGCTGGTGGCGATTATTTTAGACAACTTGTAAAGGGATAGGATGCATTCATGGAAGTAAGGAGTAATGTCAGGAGACATTAGACTTGAGTCAGCATTATCCCCAGATCAGCATGCCTACATTTATGTTTTGCAGAAGAATACTGGGGGAGGAGAATCTCTGCAGCTGGTTGGTCACTTCGAGAAATAAAATGCTGGTTTAAGATGGGCCTTGGCCCGATGTAGGAGGGGGTTCCAGTCTCCAGTCATAAACAGCACATGTTGCTTGCATCATCTGTTAATTTCAAATTTAACTTGATCATAAAAATCATCAAGTTTTTTCTGGATCAGTGATTTGAGCATAAACTTGGAAGAGTGTCATTTTAAAGTGTTGTCCATGAAGTCTAGTTAATATTATTCAGTCACTGATTGCATTATAGCCAAGTACTGTTCTTGTTATACCCTTCCTAACGCCATTCTTTCTTTGTTTTTCATGTCCTGAGTAGTAGACAGTGTGATCTTTATTATTATTGATATTATTATTATTTATTGAATTTATATACCACTCAACTCTCAATGACTCTGGGAGTGTCCAATTCCAATCCATCTTAATTTGCTGATGCCTATGATATTCTTTCACTGTGGTGAGCTTTCCCATGTTCATGCTTCTTACATTCCATGTTGCCACTGTAATTCTGTCTTTGCAGCTTCGGATTTTCTTTTCCTGTGTAGCAACATCAGCAACTAGATGCCCTGAAGGCTTTAATCTAGCCACTTCATAAACACCATTAGTATTCAGCTCTTCCTCAGTAACATGTTGAGTGCCATCTGACCTGAGGAACTCATCATCCAACACTATATTGTCAATCATTTTACATTTTCTATCCATGTGGTTTTCTTGGTAAGAATACAGGAGTAGTTTACCATTGCCTTCTCCCACGCAGTATGAAGTGATGTTGTGGAATCCTTGGTGCTCTCTGAACTTGGTTGTTTGCTTGCAGGCATTCCATTACCCAACTAGGTAACATCATCAGTGTGACTGAGTGTGGGGTTTGCTCTCTGTTTATATACTGTAGCTTGCCCTGCCAGTTTTGGTGGGGATGTGGTTTTCTCCTTGGTAGTTCCTTGATTAGAGTATTGTTTTCTGCTTGATTGTTTGTCTGGTGTTAATCCCTGCTTATCTGGGAGCTGCTACTGGAGCGGATGTGTTCTGGTCTTTTTTTGTTTCCTTCTTAGCTTTTTTATTATGTCTTTTGAATGGTGTGTAAATATGGTTTATTTCAATGTGTCTATTGATGGCTGATTTGTCTGAATGCCAAACTTCCAAGAATTCCCTCACATTTTTTGATTTAGCTTGTTCTAGAATGCTCAGTTTCCCAGTTGAATCTATGGTTGAGTCTGTTCATGTGTTGTGAGGTTAAGGAATTTTCTTCATGTCTTTTGCCTGTTAATTGGTGTTCATGGATGCACTCTGCTAGTCTTCTGCCTATCTGTCCTATGTAGTATTTGTTACAGTCCTTACACTATGTGTTGTAGATGACTCTTGTTTTTTTTCCTTCTTGGGCTACTGGGTCTTTTGGTTTACTTAAGTTGCTTTAGAGGGCTTTAGTTGGTTTGTGTGCTACAGTGATCCTGTGAGGTTGTAATAGTCTGTTGGTTGTTTCTGAGATGTTTTTGATGTATGGCAGTGTTACCCTTTTCAAAGTTTGTGTTGGTTGTGCTGTAATGGATTGAGTGGTCAGGCACTTTCTGGTAAAGTTGTGTGGGCATCCATTTTGTTGAAAGATGTTGTATAGGTGGTCTGTTTCCTTTTTCTGGTATTCTGGGTTGCTACAGTGTATTTGTCTGAATAATGTTCTTACACAGTTTCTCTTGTGGGAGGTTGGGTTGTTACCTTGTTAATGGAGCACTTGGTTAGTGTAGATTGTTTTTCGATAGACTTCTGTTTCCAATTTGCCATCATTTCCTCTGCTGATGTGGATATCCAGGAAGGGTAGTGTGTTGTTCTTTTCTTCTTCCCTTGTGAATTTTATTCCTTTGAAGATGTTGTTGATTGTTTCATGTGTCT